CAACTGCAGTGGGGTGCAGTATCGGCCTACCGGCCTACTTGAGTGTTTTTCCGCTACCCCAAGGGCCTCAGGGCCGCTAGCTTCACCACTTGAGTGTTTTCCCTGCTACAACCCTCAATGCCACGGCCATAGGTAAGTACCGGCCCTACGGGCCTACCAAACAAGCAAGTACCGCGGGTCCTACACACACTCATACCAACAAGCACTCAGACAGGCATGCAGGTCACAAGCACGCACACACACAGACAGACTTAGAAAACACAGCAGAATGCGGGAATCTCATCAAGGCATCCATTCCATCGGCAGAACTTCAGAAATCAGCAGTGTTCTCAGTCTGTGTTATGACAGGTCATTACATACCTCGAAATTGGCCGGGATCATAGCAGGTTAGTGGCCGGTATGGATCCGGAGTGGAACTGGCTGGAACCAAACATGGGCTACAGGTATAGGTGATGCAGAGACAACGAACGACGTTGGATTGCACCAGAAACAGGATGTTAAGCGGCTTGAAGGGGGTAGGGTGGGGGAGGATGGGAGACACGAAACACTTCACAAAATAAACATAAAATAAACACAAAACACTACCAAAACATTACCAACATTCAGGAGGACAAGAGATGGCGGAAGGTAAGTGCTGGGGTACGGATTATCAGTGTGCTGGTTGTCCGATTGGATATAGGCTATCATGTTCTATCATAGGTGTAGGGGGTGTAAAAGGTGAGGAATGAGTGAGGACGGTGTGTGAATAGGTGGTTAGTGGCGGGTATGGAACCGGTGTGGAACTGGCTGGAACCAAACATGGGCTACAGGTATAGGTGATGCAGAGACAACGAATGACATTGGATTGCACCAGAATCAGGATGTTAATCGGCCTGAGGAACTGTTAGGAGTTCCCCCCCGGCGCCTCGCCCCGAAGCAGTCCCCGCCATGCTAGGGAACTAGTGCCACAAGGGATGGGCTGACCCTCTGTCCCGTCTGTTTCTCCCCCCTTTCGTCAGTTGTAAAAACATGCTTGTCGGTGATGAGCAACCGGACCGAGGCTCCCCAGAATAGAAGGGGCATATGTTTGTTAAAAGTAATGCTGGCCAGGCTTCTCTGTCTATAATCATGTCCAACTGTCTTAAACGAATGTGGTTCACAATTTCAATGGCAGGCCAAGTTCATGGTGCTTTGGCCGTGCATTTGGCGACTCCGGCTTCTGTGGGTCATGCTCTTCTGGACTCTACTTGCGCTAGTCTCTCATGAGCCTGTGCAGATGAGGTTCATGGTGATCTAGCACAGATATAGGCAAGTGATGGCTGTCTGTTAAAAGTTAAAACTTTACTCGTTATTTCTTGGGTGCTGGAGCTCAACAGTATGGTCCCTTCCTGAATATGCAGGGTTCTCACTGTTTTCCTCGATACATACGTCCAGAGAGCATCTAGAAGAATGGTAAGCCTGCTTTCATTCACACCTTACCCTCCTACTTCGCTGCTCTTACCCCACTCCTGTGCACTTCTCTCTCTCTCTCTCTCTCTCTCTCTCTCTCTCTCTCTCTCTCTCTCTCTCTCTC